GCCCCTGCCCCGCGTCCTCCTCCCCTTGTTCCCCTCAGACGCGCTCCTTTCCCTTGTTTATTTCTCTTTCCTTCACAAAACGCGGTGTCCTTCAAGCGCTGGGTGGCGGCCCGTCGCCAAAGCAAGATTCAGCCTCAGACGAAGCAAGCCGATAAAGGAGATTAAAATATATTCCCGCGGCTGCGAGGGAAAGTGTGGCCGCACGGAGAATTAAGGGATATATTTATTTTTAGGAGCCATTCACCCCTCCTCCTCTTCCCTGCAGCTTTTTTTTTCCCCCCCCGGTGATAAATCTCCGAGGTCAATAAAGCCGCCTTGGCAAACGCGCTGAAGTGAGAAACACCTCCTTTGTGTTAAATAAAACACCTCATCTACGGGCTCTAATGGACACTGCAGCGAAATAGAGACTATAAACTGGGCTGGGCAAAAATGGTTCATTTTGGAGAAATAAATAGGACTTGAGAGATGCTGAGATCGCCTCGGATATGAAGGCAAAATGGGCTAGAACCCGTCAATTCTTGGCATCTATTTTCAGGAAGAGGGTGGGTTCGGGCTGGTTTTGATTTGGTTTTAAATAACCCAAGTGTTGTCAGCCAGAGCCTGGTAACGCGCGTGCGTAACCGGCTGCATCGGTTTAACTTCATGTTAGTGAATGGCACACGCAGCGCGCTTTAAAAATAACCCTGCGACTGGTGCGTCAGGTTTGGGGGGGAGGAGGAGAATATTGGGTTATTCGTTTAATGTATAGCATAACGGAGCGGGAGAAATGCAGGGCTTGGGCTGCTCCCAGAGGAATCCCTGCTGGTTTTCCCCCCTCTCCCTTTGTCGGCAGGATCAGGCCACTTTTCATTGAAGAAGCGTTAGGGGTTTATGTTGTGTCAAGACGTGAAATGGGTACAAACGCTCTGCGGGGAAGGACGACGCTGCAGCGAGCTGCTTGGGAGATGGTTTCCTCTGGTCCGACCAGGGGATTTTTCCTCTATCTCCATTTGAAAAACAAACCAGCAGCAGCACTAACTCCCCATCCCTCCATTGCTCCCTCCCTCCCTCCCTCCCTCCTCCCAACAAGGCCCCGGCGGCTGTTTGCCCTCAGTTTCCCTCCCGCAGCGTTCCCCTCCGCGCAGCCAGCTCCTTCCCGGCCCCTTGGAGGCGGTGATGGCAGAGGGAAGGCACGCGAGGAATCCGGCTCATCTCTCCCTTCCTGCGTTCGCATTTCTCACGGCTGCCATGGGGGATGCCGGGGAAAAGGCGCTTTCCCTTTACAGGCTTTGCTTCCCCTGCACCATGCCAAAACCTTTGGTTTGCAAACAAAACCTGCGAAAAGGCCTCATTTGTAACAAAGCGCCGCTTTGACCGCTGATTTAAAAACCCTGCAGGCGTGCCTGGCAGCTCGTCCTTCGCTGTAAAAGCTGTTTAAAAATCAGGGAGTCGTTTGAGTTGTGAGAAAGATAACCTCTGGAATTTTATGGGATATGAACTGGAGGGGGTTTAGTCTGGAGAAGGGAAGGCTCAGGGGGGACTTTATCGCTCTCTGCAACTGCCTGCCCGGAGGCTGGGGCCAGGAG